ATTGTTATTTACAATATCAATTTATAACTATTGACTGGTGATTTTCCAAAATACATCAATTGTTTTTATAATTGTACAAATTTATAAACTACATCTTTATGAATTTTAAAATTATTTTTTAAAATTGATCATATGCAAGAGAAAACATGCCTGACCTGTTTACTATACTCTTAAATCTTTCTTGTCCAGCTGTGTCCCATATTTGTAAATCTACTTGCTTATCTTCAATGTTTACTTGTACTTTCTTGCAGTCGACTCCTACTGTACTTTCGTAAACATCTGGAAAATTTTTTTTAAGAATAATTATATTGGTAGTCAATAAAGTTATATATATATATATTTTCTTGCTTCCAATTGTTGTGCTACTGTTAAATATTTTAGATTTTCTAAAAGTTTTCATTCTTTTAATATTCTTTCAGTTTTAATAATTCGAAACTAGCGGTTAAGAGTTTATAATTATTTTTTAGCAACCATAAACATTTTTTAATTGTCCTCTATGTTTTTAAAGTTAAATTTTTATCACTTTAGCGTCATGTGAAACTTTAATTATGCATCAACCACCAGTGAAAAATTATCAACTCAAAACATCAGTCACACTTCATTGACAATAGTATTTAAGAATAAATTCAAAGCTCAACAAACTACTTTCCTTACATCTTTGCTGTCTGAAGTCGAACTACTGAAAGGATTATACGTCCAACATTAATAACATTATTTTCTTCTATCATATCTACAAAATGCACGCTTTTAAAACTGCTTGGATTTGCTGAATTTTCCCATGTTCAATAAAACTCAGTCAATGGATGTTTGCTATGCTCTCCCAATACTTCAATTTCTAGATTTTAATTTTCTCTCTATACACATTTAAACAGAATTATCATTGAAGAAAATTATTTCACAAAAGACAATCCTAATTTCTCTAATCTTAATTTCTAAAGTAATTTTTCAACAAAGTAAATAAATATTTTACTTCGCCCATCAGTTAACAACCAGTGAAAATTTTCACCAATACATAACACCAGTTATTCTTCATTTACAAAAATTTTTATTAATAAATTTAAAACTCAACAAACTATCAAACTTTTTTTCTGTGGCTCAGAAGTTCAACTACTTGAAGAATTACGCATTTCAACTTCATAAACATCATGTTTCCTCTCATATACTGAAAAGTATGCGTTTTCTAGTAAGAGTAGACTATTAAGTGTTGCTGAAATTATATATGCCATACAAATTCCGTTCTTGGATAATTCATGTATACTCAGTAATTGAATTGTTTGATTTTAATCTTTGTCTCATTCTTTAAAGGTCTTATCTAGAATAGTCCATTCATTTTTTAACAATCAGAAATATAACATCAGTCGTGATGCCTCCTTTTACATCCTCCGCTACCTCTATTTATTTTCATTTTTTACTATTGAGTACATAATTCATAGCATTGTTACTGTCAGATAAATTGTTCTGCATGAAAACCTTATAATGGCATAAAACTTTCTAAAAGACATCCTAAACATTATACATTAAAGGAAAGCGAAAGCTTCTTTACAAAATAATCTCTTTTTGAAATTTAATATGCTGAAGATGTTTTATTAAAAAGTTTTGTCAGTAATTAAATGACAGTATTTAAACACTTATTCAACGATAAATATAACAATCGGTAATTTTATTCAATTTATTATTAAATAATTAAAATTATGAAAGTCCCGGAATAACCTTTTCGGCGCTAATTTTCTTTCTTCCCTTACTTATTCGTTATTTTGATGTAATTTTATTTGTAAACACAGATTAGTGATAAAATGCTTGATATATTAAGAAAGTTCAAAAATAGTTTTATTACATCTAAAGTTTTTCAACATTTACTTATGCGAAATAAAGTCTATTTCTTAAACACAAAATTATTATTATTAAATACAATAAATGAAATAATAACTGAAATCAGTTTAGAATTACTTAAAAACTTATTTTGTTTTACTAAAAAAAATTCCTACCATTAAACAGCATTTTTTATTTTGTTCATTGATTAAAAGTGATTGACAGATCAAACGATAGATTTCCATGTTGAAAAGGCAAATATTTTCCAAAATTTTTGCAAGGTGTAAAAAATTTAATGTATTAAATCGAATTGCACTTACTTTGAAATTTCGAATCAGCAAAACGTATCACAAAGCTTGTTTTTCCTACACCTGTAAATGAATATATTATATTTGAGTAAAAAGATTTTTTTTGTGTGTGTGTGTCATTTTCTCTTGCTTAACATGATTTCAGATATTATTTTTCTCATATATTTTCACGCTGTTTTTTTTACTGTTCTATTGGTTGAAATATTACTATGTTATATAAAATTCAATGTTATTTTGAAAAACTTTGAATGAAAATATGATAATGTAAAATTGTACGAATTATTCGACAATAGTTCTTATTAAGAAATAAAATATATAACACAATAATATTTCAAATTATGGAAAACTACAGTATAGTAAATACCCTATAAATCTAATATTATTGTTTTTGTATATCAGCCACTTTGATTCGAGGTCATTCACTGCACATAAGGCAAGTATAGTACACAAAGGCGAGGTATTCACTACACAAGAGGAAAGAGACTACATAAAAGGCAAGTATGCATATTTTATAGCATTAGCGAGGTACATTACGTGGGAAGGCTACGCCCCACCTATATTTTATGCAAATACACTCAGTGATCTAGTTTGGGGATATTTTTTACCTCAAAGCAATTTTCCGGCATGAGAATTTATTGTGTCCATCCACAGCTTAGATGAGGAGATTTATATGCAACTTTGTCTGTTGGGTTCCCGATTCTGAAACTGAATCCACTATTTACCGGCCGTCAGACCCTTTTATTGTAGTGTCGTTTAACATAAACAAAGTTGATTGTTTATAAAACACCATTTCATACAAGATCGGTTAACAAGTCATGGTTTGAAAACAGTCTGGTCACCTCTATCACTTCATGCCACATCTTTCTTTTTATGTGGTATGTGATATTTTTCGAGTGTTTAAAGACGGATGTCAGATAATGTCTGATCTGAATGACAATGAAAAGCTTCAAATCAGTTTGATCTCATTAGAGCTCTGTGCAATGAGCATTAGAGCTCTGTGCAATGCAACTCTAAGCATTAGAACTCTGTGCAATGCAACTGTAAGCTTTAGAACTCTGTACAATGCAACTCTAAGCATTAGAACTCTGTGCAATGCAACTCTAAGCATTAGAACTTTAGGCAAAGAATGGAATGTGGGATTATAAATAATGTATAGTTTCATGGATCACGCGTAATACTATTTTTGTTTATTTTCGTAGCTACACAATGATCTATTAACAATTATTAGATTTTATATATATTTCATATTATATATATTTCACTTGGAATTATCTATGTGTTTTTTTCTGTATTGTTTTAGACATAGATTCAGCTCTAGAAATTTATCATATAACGAGTAATAATTTTAACAACAATGAAACAAAATTTCATTGATTTATTCAACTCAGGAAAAATATGCCAATAACACCTTAGTTATTGGTGCAACGCCACGTATTAAAAATCATTTAACCATTTTTTTTCCAGTTTTCAAAGAGTGCATCACTTGTACTATATTATAATGAAATTCTGTTTTGTTCAGAGTGATAACAACATGTTCTAGAGCCTACTAAATAGATTAACTTTATTAATAATAACATTATATTTCATAATTAAATTGCAGAAAACAAAGAATTATTTTAAAACTAATGCAGTCAAAGATCTATGGCAATAAGTATTCACTGTATTCAAATGTTAAAAATATTTATTTTTGTACTTTGTTCTTTTTAAGTCCATAAAGAGTCTTTACATGATGATATAGTGTCATTAATGTAAAATGTTTACCACTTATGTTATTGATTACAGAACAACTTGCTTATAAGCTGATTTAATAAAAAACTGTTACTATAATTTTAAAGACCAAGTAAAAAATAAATAAATAAAATTCTCGAATTTAAAATATTTTAGTTATTAGTAAAAATGCAATTTCAAATACTCTTAAAACCATTTTAGCTATAAATAAATGCACTAAAAGTTTTTTAATGAAATGAAAAATACTATCATTTGATAAAAAAAAAAATAATCAGAGTTTTTTTCTGAAGTTTACGTGGGAAAGAAATGTGAAATACATTACGCAATGATAATTATTTTTCAATAATTGAAAATAAAAATGTAGCAAAGTAATTTAAAATTGCGTTTCACTTTTGAAAGTAATAATAGCAATGCAATAATTTTAGAAACAATTCGATGTAAAATTATACATGATTGAACGTGAGTTAGTGATACTCAAGAATCAAAAAAATTCTGTTGTAAGAGATATTTGTCAGTTTTAAAATAAACAGATAACAGACATATTATCTCGAAGTTGACATCTTGTGTTGATGATTGCGAAGGAATTATCTGCACTACAAACAGTACGTTTCCTCATAAATACCAAATGTCCTCGTCACAAGTTTGCATTTTACGAAAATCCAGTATATTTATATGTTAATTGTTAAATTTAAATTTATATGTTTATATGTTAATTTACTATTGTTTTCATATTTAAATTAATCTTTCTATAAGGGATTACTTTTAATTATTGGCTTTTACAAATAATTATTGTGTTATCATTAATTTATTCAAAATGCATGAAAAATAATAGAGAATGTGATGTTGTTTTCAAAATAAAATATGTTGTTTGTTGTTTCTTATCCCACTTGGCTGGCCAAGCACACGAGCCCATACGTGCTCATGATTGAAGGGGAACGAAGCAGCTTCTGTTGTGATGGAGCACCCGTAGGTAGAAGTCTGACTTTGGCTCCGTGACGCTCTTACAGTCATAGGAGACCGGGAACTACAGCTTAACGTGGATTCCGAACCACTACAAACATCCATGGCACCGCTGGAATTCGAACCCGAAACCTGTGGCAACAAGCGCCAGAGAGCTAGACACTCGGCCATTCAGGTCCCAAATTTGTGAATGCCAACGGCACGCGGTGTTCCCAGGTGGTCACCCACCCAAGTACTGACCGCGCCCAATGATGCTTGACTTCGGTGATCTAACGAGAACCGGTATATTCAGCATGGTAGGGCCGTTGACAGATTGGCATTTCTAGATATATCTCTACACGAAACCTAAACACTGCCCGCTTCAATTTAGAATGAACACCATATATGGAATCTGGGAGGTATACACCCTCCTTTCCTCTCACTTAAACTCAATAGAATGATACTGTGGTAAATTTATTAAAATATATATATCTATAAGCAATAGATTAAACCTATAAGATGATACATATATATGCGAAACGATAAATGTATCATTGTTGTTGTGACTAATCCTCAGTGATCGGTAGAGCGGGACAGACATCCCATGAGCAATCTACTCATGGAAGGAGGGAATGGGGCAGCTTCTGTTGTGATGGAGCACTCGTTGGAAGATGTCTGACTTGGCTCCGAATCGCTGAAGAAGGAGGGCCTTCAGGGAGGTCTTTAGGGGGGAGGGGACTACCCGTATCCTATAGGAGAAAACCCTGTGAACTTCCACCAGGTAGTTTGGGGGTAAGATTCTGAAGGTAAGATGCTGAACATCACAAACACCAAACAGTCTCGTTTTTGAAACAGTGTTTACAACAATGTCACCAGCGGATTGAACTTGAGTCCTAGTACTCACCAGCAGCGCAGGCTGCTTCTGAGCCACGAGTCGGGCACGATTATTTATAAGCCAAATGGTCAATGTCGTTAACTTTCCTTTCAGCTTTGTTTATAGGGTTGCTAACCGAGTTGCCGCAGTTCGAAAACTTAGCGCACAATTTACCATGCGTCCATCATAACGAATATGTAAATGTAGTCCATTATAACAAATATGTAGAAATAATAGAATGATCTAATTATATGAATATAATATGAATTCCCAAGATGTAATTGATAAATTCAGAGATTATATTTCCAAATATAATATTAAAGAGAGAACAAATTAACGAAAGAATAAATTAATGATGGAATAAATTCTGTTGATAATTCAATATTGTATTGATGCATGCATGTTAAAGAAGGCATATAATGTAGAAAAGCTTTTTGTTTTTATACAATCGTAAGTTGCCTAAAGTGTTTTCGAGGGGAGAATATTCAAAGCTATGTATAGAAAATTGCTAGTTTATTTACAGAAAATTCTCATGTTAAAATGTTTCATTTAGCTATAAGAAAACAACAAATGCTCTTGATGCTTGATGTTTTTTTTTCTCTTAAATATTACACGTGCAGATATATTTTTATGCACTAAACATCCGTCGTATGTATAAATAGAACAGGAAATCAGTAAGCCGACAATAAAACAAACGTTTCCTGTTACAAAAGCATTACTCCTTGACAAATTGAAAATAATGATTATATTCGCTTTCACAGTGATTATCTCATTATGTCGCTATTCATAATGATTGTTTTCGCTTTCAGTTCCTGACAATGAAATTATTTTTAAAAGTTAGTTAAGTTTAAAAAGATTAAATTAATATCTTTTTTAAAAAAAAATCGAATTTAAAGATAACTATTAGTAATGAAACTAGCAATAACGAAAAATTAAGTTAAAATGAATGGATGTCTTAAGTCATATTTTAAAGGTTGTTATATTCTTCTTTTGCATTATTAGCTTTGTTAATAGTGCATTGGTTTTCCAAAATTAATTCAAAGCCCATCAAAACCAATATACGATCAATTCGTATATATATACGATATATATTCGAATATATATACGATAAATTCGTAGGATTGAAGATTATTTCATAGGTCTCAAGAAGCAGGACAAGAAGATGCAAATCCCCGGGTGTAGTTCTGAATGTGTTCGCTTTAAATTATGGTAGTAAAATTTGGGGGCAATGTATCCCTCTAATAGTGCATCCTGAGTAACGTTGATATTGCTACATGCCTGCCGTTCTAGAGATAAGCGACCGCAGATAATAATATCTAGCTTCTGATAACGGCTACAGTAACGTATTTTTATTTTAGCTGCAATACATTCAGTTAATTCGGTTAAGACTGATGCTACTTTATTGATTTCCAATTCTTCTAAAACTGCGATTTTAAATTGCTATAAATTAAAATTAGATTAAGTTAGAAGTAAATGTTAAAAATTACTGTTAATATTATCTGTTAGTAATTATTTTAATTTATTTCTGAATATAAATAAACTATATTTTTATCATTTTTAAAATTATATCGGAATTAAAATAAAGAGAATTAAAAAATTGATTGGCTATCGTAGGTTTTACTTTAAGATTTAACGGAAAAATTCCAAATCTATAGCGGCCAAAACAAGTTATTACTTACGTAAGTTTAAATTTCTGTTATATTAGAACTATTTCACAATTTTTTTCTTATCGAAAAAATGCTATTTTTCATTCAAGGGTTGTATTGGTTGGTTCATTGAAGTTTTGTAAAATATATAAAAAAATAACAACGGATTTCTTAGAAAGTGATATAAGAACTTATTTAGAATATAAAATCTTTTTATATTTAGAATATAAAAAGAATTTATATTATAAATAAGTTATTGGTATTATATTTTGTTTAATTTTATTTTTAAAATAGTTTTAAATAAGGAAAGTTTGTGTGTTTCACTAAAGTAAAAGCATAAAAATTAGACAGCTGATCATGTAAAAAAATTGTAGGCGTAGAAAAAATAATTTAGATTTTATCAAAAGATGGAAATATGTTCCTAGTTTTTGAAAACGTATTATTAGCAAAAATTTGTTAATAATAAAATGTTTACATGAAATAAGAGAAAATTTGATTAGCTTCTCATTAGTTTAACAAAAAACTATTTTGTATTTAAGTACTTTTGAAATAAAGTTTTCAATATATTTTGATTTTAATAAAAATAAATGTTTGAAAATATATTTTGTTTAAATAGCATGAAATCGAGCAGAATTTGTAATATTGAGCCATAATGAGATAATCCTTGAGTGATAATTATAAACATTTACACAATGTGTTAAAGTTTTTTTAAAAAATCAAACTTTCATAATTTTTATTTTCCAGTAATGATAGATGTGATTTTTTTTTTTTTTTTTTTCATTTTTCAATTTTCCAATTTTTAAATCATTGTCTCTTTATGTCTTATTGACACAAAAAACTATTTAATGAGAGCTCTATTTAATCTATTTGATGAAACTATTTAATGAAAGCTATATTTAAACTATTTAATGAAAGTTTTATTTAAACTATTTGATGAAAGTTCTATTAAAACTATTTAATTAAAGCTATACCTAAACTATTTAATTAAAGCTATATTTAAACTATTTGCTGAAAACTTTATTTAAACTATTTATTTAAAGTTATACTTAAACTTTTTAATGAAAACTTTATTTAAACTATTTAACGAAAGCTTTATTTAAACTATTTAATAAAACTTTATTTAAACTATTTAATGTGAAGATTATTTTTTGGAAAGAAAAAGATTTTGAGGAAATTATAATAATTCACCAAAATAAATGAACTAATAAAAGACATGCACTTAAGCTATGTTTTAATACATTTGTATCAAGTGAAGAATTAAAAATACACCTCACAAAAGAAAAAAAAACCAATGCATTCTCGCTAAATATCATCCAGAAATAAAAACAAAATTGTCTTCTTACAAAGCGCTACTTACCGCTTTCGCCCACAAGAATTACTTTAAACTCTTCTACTGCCATTTTCGCATTGTGTCCTGCAGTAATAAAGAACTACCTTCCACCCCAAGATTACCGTTTCCGTCAACTGACTTGGCGCTATCAAGTTTCTATTGAAACACCGTTCTTTGTCCGGTATTGGATATTGAAGGAACATGGGAAATAAATGAGTGATAAGATGAGAGTATCGTACCTCAGATTAGTCGTCTGTAGCAGATAAGTTTGGAAGAAAACACGCCAAGACAAGGGCGAATGCATGGGGATTGTATTAGATCGTTTAATGGTGGTTGCTGACGTGTAGGGCAATAGCCTTATCTCTTTGCTAATTTCTGGGTACTTAACGATGAGTTTTAAGATAGAGTGATGAAATTTTTTTTTTCGTATCGTATGTTATAATCTATAAAGCACATAAGAAAAGTAAATCATGCTTCGAAAAGCAAAAAGGGAGTTGATGTGGGAACTATTATACAATAATTATGTAAAAATAATTAATACACAATAATAATAATTTAATTGATTATGACACAATATATATGGGACTTATGGTGACATGTATGGGACTTAAAACAAAAAGGGACTTGATGTGGGAACTATTATTACACAATAAATATGTAAAAAATAATTATCATTAATTATTAATACACAATAACAATAATTTAATTTATTATTACACAAAAATTATGTATGATACTTGATGTGGGAACTTTTATTACACAATAGTTATGTAAAAAATAATTATCGTTAATAATTAATACACAATAATAATAATTTAATTTATTATTACACAAAAATTATGTATGGGAGTTGATGTGGGAATTATTATTGCACAATAATTATCTAAAAAATAATTATCACTAATAATTAATACATTACAATAATAATTTAATTAATTTTTACACAATAATTATGTAAAATTATAAAATAAATAATATCGGTAAGTCATTTGCATGAAAATATAAAATTACAAAAGTCAAAAATATTAGTTCAAAATTCGAAAAGTTCAATAGATTTAGCAACAATATAGTATCATAATTTATATAGCAGATAAAAAAAAATATAATAACAGATTAATAAATACTGACTATATCAAGAAAATTAAAGAGGAATTATATTACTATGAAAAAATGTGCATGAAAATATAAAATTACAAAAGTCAAAAATATTAGTTCAAAATCCGAAAAGTTCAATAGATTTAGCAACAATATAGTATCATAATTTATATAGAAGATAAAAAAAATATAATAACAGATTAACAAATACTGACTATATCAAGAAAATTAAAAAGGAATTATATTACTATGAAAAAATGTTTTTTCAAAGAATATTTATTGACAGGAATTTGCAATCCATGTTACTTTGCTCCCACAGATAACTGTATCGGTCAAACAAATCATAGCGACATATTCTGATAACATGGAATACCAGATTACAT